CTATGCGAATTTCAATGAAAACATCATGTCTACCCATATGATTGTGGGGAATTTGACTATCAGTCCCGTTATCACCCTAAATGAAATAAGATGAATGTATCTTACATAGCTTTTATTAGCATTCTTTAGTCTCCACAACAGTACACTTGACAGGTTGTTTTCATCCAATCACCAGTTGACTCAATATCAGAGTCGTATTTCGACGTAATTTTGTAACGTAATCCGGTTGCAAATCTCACGTAATTATTGGTCTTCTCAATTCGCTGTATTTTCTTTTATGCCAGATGCTACATGACGCCGCCGACGTGCCGAGTTTGCCTTTAGATATTTTGGATACTTTCCAACCAATGCAACAACAGCATCAACAGTCTCCCTCTTTGTTCAGTAACCTTTCGGTCTCACCTGCAATTAGCGATGAGCTCGCTTTCACTCTGCGCCATCCTCGTCTGGCCAGCGCTGCTGGTCCGGCTGCCAGCCGGGCTCTCCTGCGGGCCGGGTTTGCGGCTTGGACAGAGGCGCTAGCCCACTGCCTCGGCCGCAGTGCTGATTTTCACAATCCCAGCCTCGATCTGGTTGGACATGGCCGTCGACTGGCAGATGTTCTCCTCAGTTGCCATGTCGACAGTGCACTCTTCCATCAGCTCACCACTGGCCTCACTGCCACAAACACTCAAGCCTTCCAATTGTCCGACCATCGAAAAGCCTCTTCCGATTCTCACCACCCCATTTCGACGTCATTGTCAGCCTGCCTCATGGCAACAGCTCACCCATCGACCTCACCAACCGGCTGATGACTGTGGATGATGCAGAAAACTCGTCCTCCCTACCTTTGCTTCGCCTCCCTTTTCCCTTCAATCTTCCTCTTTTCTTATCTTCTTCTGGTCAATTACTATACAGGGTCACAATCCATCCCTTTCGTGCTCAACCAACCAATGTTTCGGTGCCTTACGTTAAATTCATTCTTCTGTATCCTTCTTTAATGATACGCAAAACTCACCCTTCTATTTCATCTCACTTCTCGCCTCTATTCCCCTTAATTTATTCTCTCCCTCCTTTTACTTCTCTCTCTCTCTATACTCTCCATCTTTTCTATTCTCTTTCTCGTCAATTCCTCCACAGGGTCACAATCCATCCTTCAGAAGTATCCTCTTCCTATTCACCTAACCATTGCTTCAGTGTCTTACGCTAAATTCATTCTTCTTTACACTCCTACGGCTGTTTTTTACTCTACCAGTTCGTATGTATCGGAATGCTCTGGATTTATATATGCCTCGATCCTAGCCAGCACCTTCACCGACTCATCCTAAAGGTTGCTATCTTATCTCATCTATAGATTGTGTCTGAACGCTTGTTTATATATACATGCATAT